GGGGGGGATATTAAAGTGGTGCAGAGGAACAAACAGAAAGAGAGAGAGAGAGGAAGAGAGATATTATAGCGAAAGGTGGCGAGAAATAGCGACATGCTTTCCGAAAGAAAAGATCTGCTATCGTTGTTACCCAACAATTTATTTTATGTCTAGGTTTCTGTCGCTGTTTTGTGCCCGGGAATACAAGCTATCACTCTCGCTGTAAAACCTGAAAATTTCTGCCAAATTATTCCGGCCACCGGCGTGGATTTATTGTATCTTCGTCGACATGTACTCGGCGTCTTCCAAAGAAATCCGCCGGATTTGATGCGCTGCACGGTGTTTATGCTGTAACCTCTTTATGTCCTGGAGGATTCAAGATGAAAAAAAAAGTGTTAACAAAACAAAACAGATAACCCCACCATTATTCTATCCCTGGAAGCCTTTCTATTGCGTGAGTTACAGGAATGTAGATATATTGAAGACTCAAGGGGTTTTTCTGTGGGGAGGGGGCGGATGATGGAGTCACATGTTTTCCTACGTATTACTTATACCCAACGGTGGCTTCATAACACAACAGTTTGAAGGAATAAGTTCTTTTTATAGATAGAAAGAGTGATATGAGTCCAGGTAAAAATAATGATAGTAAATTAATTATAATAATATTCATAATATAAATCTTAAGTCACATGAAGTTGTGTGTCGATAATGCCGTAAAACATCTACTCAATCAATCAATCACATGAAGTTCCGAAGTCTAAAACAAAGGAGCATAGAAAAGCGAAGTACTGTATTTCTTTTTTTTAGAATCGGACTGTATATAATGATAAGCTAAGAGGAAAGAAACTGGGCATAAAGTCCTATTGAATTTTACCTTGCATTCTGGGCTCCTTTTGTCCTACGAATTAACTCGCTGCATAGCCACCACATTCCTCATTCCTACCACCGTGTGTATACGTCATTTCAATGTGTATTTTAGAAAACCACTGTGACCCAACTAGTCTAATTGGCATAGCATGACGGGAAAAGCTGAGGTAACAACGTTATAAAAAAAAGTAAATACAACTTAAACTCTGAGGTAAAGGTATGTAGTTGAATCAGAATATTATTTTGGATCGCAGCATAATAATACCTGCAGCATATTGTGTGGACAGGGAGTTCAACGAACGTATAGTTGGAAGGCCAATAATTCATGGAGTTTAAAACGCCAAGGAGAAGAATGACTTCATTTTAGCAAGGTAAAACTTCGCCGAAATCTTTCTTCATATTTATTGTTTTAACTCATTTTTTTTATTGTTTGCTTCCACAACGAAATGAATTGACTTTTGTTTGCTTTAAATTGTTTTTGTTTGCCTTAAATTGTTTTTGTTTTTTAAAACGAATACATAATATTAATGTGTGCGTTATTAATATATTTAAGTATGATTTAATAGAATTCTCCAGAAGTTCTGTGCCATCATGACTTCTTCACGAGATTGTCAGGATTGGCAACTATACATGTCTGAGACGTCAATACGATTTTGCCTCCAATCACATTATAGAGGGAGCTGTCAGTACTATCGAGAGAGAGAGAGAGAGAGAGAGAGAGAGAGAGAGAGAAAGAGAGAGAGAGAGAGAAAGAGAGAAAGACAGACAG